TGGCTCCAATGTTTGCCAATATGCTGGTTGAGCCTGTCATGGGTCACAGCCAAGAATGCCAAACTCAGGACAGACTGACAGAAAATAGGACAGATACACCCACAATACAATTAGATGTAATCAAACAAGCAATAAATGAATATTCCTGTATTGCTACACAAGATTAACATAGTCACAACATGCCTCTTGGCAATCTGTCCTGGCTCCAATGTTTGCCAATATGCTGGTTGAGCCTGTCATGGGTCACAGCCAAGAATGCCAAACTCAGGACAGACTGACAGAAAATAGGACAGATACACCCACAATACAATTAGATGTAATCAAACAAGCAATAAATGAATATTCCTGTATTGCTACACAAGATTAACATAGTCACAACATGCCTCTTGGCAATCTGTCCCTGGTTTACCACCCAGAAAAACTGGACTTCTGCGATTAAATGATTATTAAAACCAAAAATCGCTTATAAAGGTTGAACCTCTGAAATCTGGCACTCTGACCCGGCCACAGATGTTGCTGGATCAGAGAGCCCGGCTGGGAGCAGAGGCCAGCCAGGGGGAGGCGTGAAGCCATGGGTGGCGGCAGCAGGTATGGAGGCCAGGAGCCCTTGCTGGACGGGTGAAGTGGGGAGCGGATCCCAAAGGTCGACGTGGCAGGGAGCGCAGCCCTGTGGCCGGGGCTGGCACCCCAGAGCGAGGCTGACAGCCAAGAGGAGAATCTTAACCTCCCCTGGTGCGGCAAACTCCTTGGTTTGGGACCACTCAGTTCCTGAGGGTGCCGGGCTGGGGATGTCCATCCTTTATCTTCCAACTCCAAGAAAGTGGCCACACACTTCAAATCAAAATATACTTTGGGATCTCCCCAAACGCTGTTGCAGCCAATCTTTAGTAAACGATCTAAAGACTTATTAATTATAAAAGAGTTATTAAACGGTTACAATTAATTCTATACCTTACGGTCAATTTCAGAGTCTGCAGATGAGGAGGACAGCAGCGATGTTAACTTCTGCTAGTTTGCAATAAATCTCTCTGGTACAGCCAAAAAATTAGAGTCCCTGTCCAGTGGTTGCTTGGATGTAGAGTCTGTTCATGTCTCTCTGATTTCAGAGCATCCCAAGTGATTATTTGGGGATCTTTGTCCAGTAGTTCAGATTTTCTTGGTTTAAAGTTCAGCAGATCAGAGATAGTAGGATCATGCCCAAAGTTTTTCTTTTATCGTTGAGCAGTCTGCCAAATGGTTTAAGAACAGTACATGTCTAAAGATTCCTCTTTGTTGTCCGTGGCTAATGGAAGCAGCAGCCAGCAAGTCCCTGTGACCTACGGGACTCAGGTTGGCCACCACTGGTGCAGAGTTTAAAGGAACCATAGAATGTACGATGGTGGTGCTTAGTTTTTTATTTCTTTCCCCCTTCCCTCTCCCACAACGTCAAGATCCTTATTACGCATTCCATAAATCTTCTTGTATTTCAGCGTAGTGTTACCACCTCCGTGTGTCTTGTGAATTTTTCTGTATCACGTGCATTGGGCCTTATATAGCACCGTAGAAACTTTCAACTCAAGTGGAGAAGCTGGATCCCATATTACTTGAAGTGCTCAGTAGGCTTGGTAAGAAAACTCTGTGCACCATTGATGCCAGTTTGTTTAAATCCAGCTGTGTTGAGAGCCTAAGAAACCCTTTGCCATCACATTCTGCTGTTTCTTCAGTAGATGTTGGAAGGGAGCTAAAAAATTTCAAATAGAAGTGCAGAGCTCTTAGAAAATATTAGCTGTGGTCTGCAGACCCTTTCGTCTGCGGAACCCTGGTTGAAATCCGGTGTTCTAGAAATTAGCTGCTGGTACCTTAACACCTGAGATTCAAAGGAAAGGGTTGAACTGTCTGCTTGTTCCAAGTAATAATTTTGATTACTGGGGGTAAAGGTTGTGTACAAGAATGAAAAGCTTTGTGGTGTTTGGTGAACATAATTGTGGCAGTTTCTCAGTGGGGGTAATACCCATTGACTGACATTTGTGAAGCGATGCCAGTTTCCATCAGCTGAGAATCTGGCTAGTTTATTTTGTTACTGTTGTTTAGAGCATCCTTCCTCTTCTGCGTCTCTTGGGGGAGGGGGCGGGGATGTTCCTGTATGACCAAGAAGGCACAGGCCGGGCATCTGACTCCAAGCAGACTTGGGGAAGGAAGTTCTCAGACCAATGTAAACAACTCCTTATCCCAATTCCCTGAGATTTGAGGGCATGACTCACTCTTTGTAAAGCCTCTAGCTATATCTATAGCAGTTTGTATCTTCCTTCACATTGTAGTTGGCTTTACAATTTCACTCTCTGGAAGCGGGTTGGTGAGGTATGTAGAGTCCCTACAAAAGAAAAATAAAATTGGAGTGGAAAAAATGGCAATGTTTGTTTAAAAATGGCAGAGGTTACATCTTTTACATATTCAGTCTATTATCTTAGCATTAGAACGATTTCCAAAGCTGGGCATGTTTCTTTCCCCAGTTGCTATAGAAAAGGTCTGTTTCTATATGGGCCAGAGGTTGCAAGGTAGGACAGCTGTTGCTAAATTATCTCCCAGCGGTATCTGAGAGATCAAATTCCCCTTATGCTTAGCAGCGCAAAAAACACAGCGTCTCTTGGCAAATGGCGAGTTTGTTAAAGCAACTTCTGACCGTTTCATTTTGTTTTTATAAATTAATCTTAAAAGTAATGGCAGTTATACATATGCTGCTTCAGGGTAAATAATTAAGCAGAGGAACAACATTTTGATGTGATGAGGGTCCTGGTCTCCTCTAATGTCACTTAGTGGGAGGAGTTTCACTACGATGGTTGTCTGAAAACATCAACACATTGCCAAGATGTTACATGGGGGAAATGTGTCATTTCAAATCACCTTGTGTGGTAATTGCAGGCAAATGCTGACTTCACAGTGGTGGCTGCTATGTACTCTGATTCAGTCCATAGGAGTGTTCAGATAAGTGCATGAATCCCACCTATCACCAGCATTACATTTGATAAAATATGTCTCCCATTGTGCCAGTCAGGGTCTAGAAGTGGGGTTCTGCACCCCACAGAATAAGCACTTGAATCCAGGGGTCGTATACAAGGTTGTTTGTGCATAACGATACGCCCAATAAAGTCTTTTAGAAAAGCTTGTAATTTTCTGACCTGAACGGCCATTAGGAGATCTAGATGCAAGTTCTGGTTGTAACTGGATGCATGTATTGGATATGTGTAGAGAACGTTGCAATTGTAGCAAAACTGGAAAGAGAACCTCTGTCCTGGACTCTTAAGGAAGGAGGGAATTTCCCCTGCACTGTGTAACCAAGAATTAACCTAGTCTATAAGAAAGGGGGGGAGCCCCCCGCATCCTCCATAAACCCTGTTCAAAGAGGAGTTTGAAGTGATGGCGGTCTCTGGTGTGCACACCATCCGTCTCTCAAAATGAACTGATAATTAAGGGCTGCTTTCATCCCTTCTGAAGTGATGAATCAAATGGGAACAGTCCAAGTGTCTGGTAGTTAGAAACCTGGGGAGACTCGGGACCAGAAGGAGTAACTAAGCCAGTGTGAAACCGCATGCTCGTAGGCGGGCTACTGGTATCAGAGTTGTGAGCCATAGCAGCATACCATGAAGGCTCTGAAAGCCACCAGGCAGGCAGTGATGGAATCTCTTACTGCTCTGGGTGATCTCCAAAATGTCACCAGTCAGTGCAAAAACACCGAGCTCTTTTCTTTTTGGGGTGTGTTCTGTGAGTCTTCTGTGGTGCTTGTTTATCTAAACTCTGTTGAGTTGCCTTCCTGCACCTTGCAAAGGCTTAAATAGCACAGGAACGCCAGAATATTTCCCCTTTCACTGAAGACGTTCATCTATGATGTTCTTTTATTTCCAGCACTGGTAGAAAACTCTCTTACAGTGTTGTTTATGTGGGGAAAGAAAAGTTGTGTCAGCTTGGCACCCGCATCTACAGCCTAACTGGCCGTAATTTGTTCCTTTGCTGACATTTTTAGCAGAGAGAGTGTTTGGATGGGCCTCTGAGGCTGATCTCCCCTTTAAGGCATTGAATGTCGGTCCCTGAATAGTTGGGATGAGGAAGCTGGCGCTGCTGCTGCCCATGCTGTGTAAGATCTGTGGATCTGTCCTCTGGGCTGTCAGTCCCGCATCTTTCGCTAACACCAGTGCATCTCACACATTTTAATACAAAAATTGTTAAAGCAACAGAGAATGTAAAAAGTAGTATCGTAGTAATCTTAATTAAAAGTTTAGACCTGCAGATATGGGAATGTACAGTAACTGTAGTGTTGGGGGTTTTAGTTAACACACAATTTCATGGTGTTTTTTATTCTCCCTAGCAAACGAAAGCTACAGACAGGTAGCAATGTGTGTTCTGTATCACATAAGCATGGACGATCGCTTTAAATCGATGTTTGCCTACACAGACTGTATACCACAGGTATGTGTTTTCCTTCTAGTTGCATTCCCCCCCAACCATACCATTTGTTGCCTTCCTGGTAGCAGAGCTCACAGTGACACCCTCAGGTCGTAATGGGAACAACAGTGAATCTTCCCAGTCAGATAATGATGAGCCTCTAGTAATATTCCCTTTCCTTCCCTAGAAGGAATAGGTCAGTGCTGCTGGCAAATAAGGTGCATCCGCGTATTGCCAAGGATATAGGCAATCACAAAAAAATCCAACAGAAGAGTAACCATGTTAAAGGGAGATGCAGTTGGTTCCCTCCAAGTACTGTGCATGCCCAGGAGAGCTTTGCTTTTTGTAGCTTCAAAAGACGTTCCTTTCCAGTCCCATTTTGAGTATCAGAACTTCATTGTCTGTAGCGTTACAGGGTATGAGCTTGAAACCAGCCAAGCAATTGCTACATCACTGCGTGAACTATTTCTGCTCTGATTACATTCCCTATGTAGCTGGGGAAAAAAATACCTTTTACCTACCTTCTGGATTAAGGAGTGCTTGGTGCCTCTCACTGTATAGGGAACAAACGAACAATTTCATTAAAAAGACCTGAATCTTTTAATCAGCTGCGGGTCAGTTTCTCAGGGTACTGATTTAAGGTTAGAGTTAAGGATTCAAATCTCCATCTCCTAAGTGTAAAAAGCTCTCTAGTATCTTTTTTTAGAATTGCACCACTCCGTTCTCTTTCCTGCCAAACATCTTTTTAACATCAAACATATCCATGATGGGAAGTTGCCATGGAAAGTTTTCAGAAGATTTCTTGTCAGTACTTCATGGCAAAAGTTGTAATGTTCTTCCAAGTCCGGGCTGGGGAGGGGGGAGGAGGATCTGACGGGAATAGCAAGTGTATGTTGCAAAATACTCATGTAAACATCCTGCTGATTGTGTGCTACAGGATGAAGTTGTATGCTAAGAAGTCCAAATGATACCGAGAGCCCGCTACTTTTGAATTGCCGCCCACCAAAACCAGGGGCTTTATTTTGCACGTTAGGGCTTTAAAGACCGTGGAAATGTCAAGGATGTTTAACTAACATGCTTTTTCTGATGGGCATTGGCTGCTCAAAGTTGTGCCTGTAACCCCTGTTCCAAAGCCCATTGAGGTAAATAGATTCTCATTAATTTCATTGTTCTTTGTCAGGCTCATAAAGAACAGCAAAACTTTAAGGTCACCCATGACCATGATGAAGAGTTAACATGCTCGTTAATTTCTGTACTAACCTGTGGCCAAAGGCCTTGTTCATCCAATGTTGTGCTGTAATTTGCCAGTTGGTTCTTTGTGACGTTCATCACAAAGGACCGACTGGCAAATTACAGCATGACTTTGGATGGAAGAGCTGGTAAGGGGGAGAGGTCGGGATGGGAGTGGAGAAAATGAACATTTTAAAGTGACTGCCTCCCCTTTTTGCCCTTCGAAATGCCACTCCCCTCTCCGTAGGGTGACCAGATATAGAAAGTGTGAAAAATCGGGATTCATGTGAGGGGTAATAGGTGCCTGTATAAGAAAAAATCCCAAGTATCAAGACACCCTGATTTTATACGGATAATCCGATCACCCTCCCGCTTCCCCAGACTGTATTTAACTCGGTTTTAATATAAAACAAAGGAGCCAACCATTTTCCTTTAGCAAGAGGCCACATCAGGATTTGTCTGGTGGGCTGTTGGTGCACGTCTAAGGTGGCAGACTATGCCATTTACTCCCCATTCACTGAGAAACGTTCTCCCTTTCGCCCACATTCAAGCTCTAGAGCCCGGCACAAGCCAGCTGATGAATGAGTTGAATTCTCCTTCGTAAAAGGTTCTCTTCTGACCCAATGGGTACCGTGAGCCAAATAGGGTAAAACAACCCTATCCTGCCCCATTGTAGGTTGAGTGTCACCGCCGCAGAGCTGCCACTAAGGGCTGCAGGTCCTATGGGGTGCTTGCCCAGGTCTTTCCTTTGAACGTTTTACATTGCGTGAAAGGGGCTGCATTCTCTCAGGTGAGCATCCTGGTGAATCTCAGGAGTTAATGGGTGTTATTCTAGTACCACTCAGAAGTGAGTATTAACAGTTCTTTCTTGTTTAGACCTCAGCAACGTGTGTTTTGTTTAAATAGGTGCAAACGCCATCCAGATGTGTATAAAAGCATTTATTGGTAATAGCCTGGCCAATCAAAGAGCATGGTTCGGCGGTGATGTTATTGTGATATTTAATATTTTACCACTGAGTGGTGTGCAAGGATCTCCTCAGTTCTCCACATGTTTTCCACCACGGTTCTCCTGCTTGGCTCCTCTTTGATCTACATGCTTCTTTTTAGTTTAAGGCTGGTAAACGTCCTCTCTTGACAGCGCCCTTTGCTCCTGTCCGCCATTATCTGCTGAAGTTCAGAAACCAGAGCATCACTTCAAACAGCCGAGTTAGGGAGTAACCGGTCAGAGGAGATTCCTGAGGCGTGCAGTTCTGGCATAATCATTCAAAGATGTTGAATCGGCTTGGGGAGGGGGTTGGACAGAGGTGTGTGCGAGTAGAGAGCTGGGGGGGTTGGCCTCTGGTCACTGGTAAATAAGTGAAGTCAGGTGCCAGAGAGTCTAGACACAGCGATTTCAGTCCTGGGTTTGTGGTATCTGATACTCAATATGGGACTTGTCTGATTGAACACTACTGCCTCTTCCCTGCACATGCTGCAGCCTTTTTACTGCCTTCCTGTTAAATCAGTAAAAGATGACAATGGCCGTAGTAAAAGCAGAACAAATTTAATTTTAATATTTCCTATTTGGCAGCAATTACACTCCCCTTTGAAGTGGCACGAGGAGCAATCAAATTAAATGAAGACATAATGGGAAACATGGAGTTCATACAAAATGACTATTTTGAGCTGATCTGTTTTGTTTCTTTTTACAGAGAAGTAGCTCAAGCAATGACAATTTGACACCCCCCCCACGTTCAACATTTAATTTCCATAGATTTTTTGCATAAGTGCAAAGAGAATGTTTGTTTTAAAATACGTGTAAATAATTTGGAGGGATCTGAAAGGTCATGACCTCTACTTGCTCATCTTTCTGTGGGACTTTGCCGGTTAATTCGTGTTTGCAATATGTGAATGTCGAGATAGATTTAGTAAATTAAAGATCTTAGTATTTGAAATCAGCTAGTGGAATCGGATTAACTTTTATGTAAGAAAAGAAGGAAATCGGCAATGGCTTTTATAATGCCTCCTCATTGCCCTTTCTCTGAATATATTTTGGTAGCTTCAGGGGGTAGCTGAGTTAGTCTGTACAGGATAAACTTAAAAAACAACAAATGCTCTGGTAGCACTTTATAGACAAAGCATGTAGATGGTGGTATGAGCTTTCGTGGGCACAGCCCACTTCTTCAGATGCCCAGAGTTTTGAGTTTAGGATGTGCAAACCCACAATAAATAGTAGCTACTCACTCTGTCTTGGACTTACTCGTTCCAAGATTGTTACCACTAGGGGGCGAGAGTGGAACTGCTCAGTCAGTTCTTTCTTCCTTTCGCTACCCCTGCTGCAAACTGAGAACTACTGTACTCATTACATCTAGTGCCCTTCCATCTGCCATCTCGAAAAGAGCATTTGTTTTACCCAGCTTCGCCCTCGGGCTACCTGGTGATTATGACAAGCCTGGCAAGCGCAGTGGTCTGGCTCCGTCAGTGCTCGCATGGGAGATGAATGCGCTACGGAATTGGGGGTTGGTGCTGTGGTAGGGGCGGATCTGCCTTGCGAGTGAGTCACTGAACCAAGGCCACAGCGTGGTGTGAAAAGTGAAGCTGGACAAGTGGACTTTGGATTTGCTGTTTGTAAGACAGATTTTAAAAGGGCAAAACACGGGTTGATATGTAAGCTGCGATAGACCAGTGACTGCACTGGAACAGGCTCTCTAGAATGGCAGCCCCCTGACTGGAGTCACTAACCTGCATCACAGCAATTAGGGCAGATTGTGGGAAATGTGTGTTGTTGCTTTCCTCCACCAGAGGAGTGGGGCAGTAGTAAGTCTGCTTAGGCAGAGGGCAGGAAGGACACATTGTGGCAGCTAGATCAGAGTGAATTTAGTTACAGGCTGTTCAAAATAGCAAGAGTAGAATTATACAATAAAATAACCATGTGGGGTGCTAAGTGGTCTCAGGAATGTAACCCTTCCCATCAGTAGTCTCCCTCTCCCTTCCCTGGATTTCAAAAACTCCGTTTAGTTTAGAAGGGTCCCAAGCGATGGCAGTTCTTTAGTGTTAGTAACTCTGGCTGTCCTCAAATAATCAAACCCTAGTCCTTCCAAAGGAGCCCCTGTGACAAGCTGGCAGCGATGCAGACACCTGACTAGGAAAAGTGTTCAGATGAGCATAGCTGTGTTAAGAATCTTGCTCTGTTTTATTTCTCGTGCTCGGGACAGTAGAGTGACTCGTGCATGTGTGTTGGTAGCTCATGAAGATGCTCTTTGAGTTCCCTGATGAACGCATTGACCTGGAGCTCATTTCCTTCTGCATTAACCTGGCTGCTAACAAGAGAAATGTGCAACTTATCTGCGAAGGTAAGTGTGCTGCCGCTCCTCATGCCCCAGCGGCAAACGTCAGAGGCATACAACTAAAGACAACAGGAAAACATTGAGACCGCATGTGTGCTGCTGGGTCAACTCCTAATGTCACTCTGTCCCCCATCGAGCCGTAGTATCTCCAGTTGTCTGGTGAACAGATCCACGAAATTACTGATTAGTGTATTGAAAACTTTATTCTTGTCCTGACCTGTAATATGTGGGATGAATGTAACTCTTTATGGCATCTCTCCCCTCCCCCCCCAAATTATCCTACAGGTAACTGGGGTTCTGTTTCCAGACATGAATTAATAGCCCAGAGTCTTTTAAGTTTTTTGAATGGAAATATGTAGTTTGGCCTATATTAAGACTGTCCCACAAAGCTGGTGTTTACAGGCTGCCTAGTATGAACAGTCTTACTTTTCATGTGGTTGCTCCAAAGCTGCCCTCTCTTTTCCTGAGCTCCCTGATTCACAACTTGAAAGTGAAGCTCTTCTCTGAAATGACACAGTAAAAACGGCACGTTCCCAACAACCATTATTCTCCCTTTATGTGTTTGGAATCCTAGGGTATGTCTACACTTGTCCCCTAGTCCGAACTAGGGAGGCAAATGAAGCATACCAAAGTTGCTAATGAAGCACGTGATTTAAATATCCCGCATTTGATTAGCATATTCACAGCCGGTCGCCATTTTAAAAAGCCGGTAGCCCAAAATAAGTCGTGCAATGAGGGAGGGAAGGATTTTGGATTGGACTACTGCGTCTACACACGGCGAATTAATTTGGGTTACCAGCTTTTTAAAATGGCGACTGGCCGCGAATATGCTAATCAAGCACGGGATATTTAAATCCCGTGCTTCATTAGCAACTTCTGTATGCTTCATTTGCCTCCCTAGGGGGCAAGTGTAGACGTACCCCTAGCTACTAACTTCAGTGGCACCGGTTTCATAGATTTTAAGGTTAGGAGGAATAATAATTTATTCTGGTCCCCTGTATTGTGCAGCACATGGAATTTATCCAGTGATTTCTGCATCACACTCTGTCACTTGCAGTTGAACAGAATTTTTAAAATAGCTTTTTAGTCCTTTATAACTTCAACGCTGTCTCCTCTAAAATGGAGTAAGCTGGATTCTGGGTTGTTTTTTTTTAACAACTCTGTTTTTACTAAATTCCAGTTAGTTATACATGTGCAAACCACATAGTGGACTTGCACAAGTATCACTGAGGGAATAATTTAGTTTGCAGGATGGTTTTTCGTGATGAGGATGCATGAGAAGGGAAGATCCCAGTTTGATCCCCAGAACTCAGACTGAGTTGGTAGGGATCAGAGAGAACAACCTCTCTTTTACTTGCGGGCTGAGCCTATTTGGTTTGGAATCGGCAAAAGACAACCAAGAAGTACAATAAGGCCAGTTTTACAGAATTCCCTTTTAGAATTATAGCCATGAGAAATGTAATAATTTTTCGCCAACTTAGACGCAACTTTGTATACGTATTGCATTTTTCTGATTGGGGATGTTTTTTTATGAAAACAGGATTTCTGCTGCTACATAATCATCTTTCATTGCTGATTTGTTCTGACATATCAGACCTATCCTTTGTTATATTCCAGTGTACGGTATGAATCCTTTTGTTTATAACCATTGTCAGCTCCGCTGGGCGATGTGGCTGTTGTATATGAGTACCTGCTATTTAAAATACCTTTGCAAGAAGCCTATGCAGACTTGTAGCTCCTCCAGCTGCCTGCATTGAGATGCACAGACATTTTTAGAGAATTTGACATGGAAATTAAGAGTTTAGGAGTTTGGGATGGCTACGTAGAATTCGAGTAGTCATACTGGTGGTAGAGGTTGAGATTTAGCAGGTAAGTTGCTTTTATCAGAGTTATAGTTGATAACTGAACTACTTAGTTCATTTTTCTGCTATAGTGATGAGCTCTAATGTTGAATAATTGATATATTTGTTTTAAATTATATACTTGTTTATATTTTGTCTTGGAGTTTATTCGAGTGAAATTTGTCCTGCCAATTATGACTGGGAAAGGAAATCGTTTCTGCTTTGTCTGGGTTATTTCCCTTTGCCTTTCAATCCTTGTTAATAAGAAAGAAATGCGAATTGTTTCTTTTTGGAGCAAAATGCCTGATTCTAGCTTTAATGTGATCTAGGAGATTTGCTACATACCATTTTCTTTCCAGGAAATGGGTTGAAGCTGTTAATGAAGAGAGCTCTGAAGTTCAAGGATCCACTGTTGATGAAGATGATCAGGAACATTTCCCAACATGATGAGCCAACCAAAAACCTGTTTATTGTAAGCACTCGTTCTACGTTCTCAGTGCCCTCTATTCCTTTGCATTGGGGAGGTGGGTGCTCCTCCTGCATCTGGAGGGATGGGTTTGCGTTCATCTTTTACAAACAGTTTTAGACTTTTTTTGAGTTTCATGTGTTACTTCATCTCTGCTTTATAAATCTGGTTCAATTGGCATTTTAAAGGGGTTCTAGATGCCTCAAGGGAGTGGTGGTTTGTTTTCCATATAGAACCTTTTTGACATCTAGGTCAGTGGTACAAAACCGTGCAAGTATATGCATCACAAAAACCATTGGCAGTTAGCCCTAGCCCTAAACCTTGTTCTTCTTTGAGTGCTTCCTCGTGTTGATTCCATTGTCGGTCATTGGGGACTTTTGCCGTAGTCGGAGTCTGACCCTAGGGCTGGCTGTGTTGCCCCCTTGAGTGCTGTGCTCGTGTTGGTATATCAAGCACTGCTAACCCCACACCCTCTCAGTTCCTTTCTGCCTGAGGTGGTCAGTTGGAATGCCAGGACTTGTGGTTTCTTATCGTTGACATTATCCATTTGCATTTGTACGTCATGCTAAGTATCTGTTAAGTAGGTCCCAGCCGGGACTTTGTCCCCAGTGGAATATGCCCCCATATCCGGGGCAACCCGTTGAGTTATATTTGGCTTCAAAGTAGTCCTCCTTCAGGAGATGCGCCTTTTGAATGTCCTGGTGAAAAACCGCTTTGCTTTGACTGAGTTAGGAACCTTTCAAGACCACATGCCGTTCATGTGCAGTACTTTTACTAATTACCATCCGATGTATTTTTCTTAGGATTATGTTGGTGACTTAGCAGCTCAGATCTCTAATGATGAAGAAGAAGAATTTGTGATAGAATGCCTGGGAACACTAGCTAATCTGACCTTACCTGACCTGGACTGGGAGCTTGTGTTGAAAGAGTACAAACTGGTTCCATACCTCAAGGATAAACTAAAACCAGGTCTGTACTCAGAGTGGTTAGTCTCCCGTGATGATCTGTTTTCTGATCGTAGTAACGTTTGCTATCATGTTGTTGTCCTATTGCAGTATTGATTTGCTTCCGTAGTTTCTTTTGGATGTAGGTATTAGCCTAATGTTAGTGTGTTGAAAACGAGAGTTATGTATAAGTAATGAGAACGTTCAAGGATTCATCCAAGTGTTTTCTTAACTACCCAGCTCTGTGCTGTTCTGGTTCCCAGGCTCTGCAGAAGATGACCTCGTCTTGGAAGTGGTGATCATGATTGGAACGGTATCGATGGATGACTCCTGTGCTGCTATGTTGGCCAAATCTGGAATTATTCCAGCACTCATTGAACTTCTCAATGGTATATTGACTGAATTTATTCCAGGTCTCATTTTCATCTATTGTTTCCAACAGATCGAGGTGGCACAATTCATTCTGATAGCCTGCAGGATAGAAGTAGGTCGTCTCTAATGAAACTACAGAACTGTCCTTCCATTACTAGCAGAAAGCTCACTCACCCTGCGCTGCTCACATTCTAATCAATTCTTGCTGACGTCCATGAGAGTCTTTTGATTGACTCTGCTGGAGGTTGGATTAGGCCATAACACTTCTGTGCGCACTGGCGGGGGGAGTTGGGGTCCATTAGACATAAGCCACTAGAAAAATGCATCCCCTGAGAACCCAGCGCCCCTCTTGGGACATTAATGTACAACGGCAAAGCGCTCTGTCTTGGCGATGTGAGGAAATACTTGAGTTTGTCTGCCAAATCATCTATGTCTTTTACCAGATGGTCTTCCACCAAGCCACCAGAGATGTCATCATCAAGGAGACCCGTATCCTCTTAAAAACCAGATGGTTTAGAATTGCAGTACTTAACTTGCTGCAATTAGAATTTTGTGTGTCAAAGCTTTGCTATGGTTTTATAAACTACTATTGGTCTGAGTTGAAACAGAGTTTGTCTGCCAAATCATCTATGTCTTTTACCAGATGGTCTTCCACCAAGCCACCAGAGATGTCATCATCAAGGAGACCCGTATCCTCTTAAAAACCAGATGGTTTAGAATTGCAGTACTTAACTTGCTGCAATTAGAATTTTGTGTGTCAAAGCTTTGCTATGGTTTTATAAACTACTATTGGTCTGAGTTGAAACAGTGGCTGAATACTATAGACATTAGATAGGTATATAGGGACCATGGGAGCAGTGCAGTATAAAGGTTATACTGGTAGAGTCCTGCAAATGTGTGGATATCCGCTTTATAGCCGCAGGTATCTGCATCCACACATTTTGTATTTAGATACAAATTTTGTATGTAGAACCTCCCAGATTTGCGGATATCTGCTTTATATCCACGGGTAACCGCATCTGCCAGCTGTGGGTGGCTCTGTAGCTTTAGCTTTGCCTCATCAAGAGGCTGAGGGTTTGGATCCAAAGGAACTCAACTACATTTCCTACGTGATCTCTTCATTTTGATTTTGTAAGACACAAAAACTTGTGCACATCCATATATGCCTGGGTGCACATAACAAAATTTATTCTGCCCATAGATGGAAAAAAATTAGAGGGGATGTTGACGGGCAGGCAGAACTAACTTTGGCTTCTCTGAAAATTCTAAATAAAACAGCGTCTGGCTTGTTCCAGAAAGCATGGTGGGTACCGATCTCTCACTTCTACTGTAGCTTCATGAACAATTCATTGTCAACTTTTTCTTACCCTGTTGTCATCACAACAGCTAGTCTTTATCACCCCTTCTACCTCCTCTTTTCTGCTGCTGTTACCTACACCCCACCATGGCATTTAGAAGGCTGCTTAGTTTATACTTCATCCTTCATTTCCTTAATCTTAAATTCAAATACACTGGTAATCTAATTGATTCAAATACCTCCACTCTTAGTTTTTGTTAAGAAAAGCTCACATGCTTTCTATCTACAGAGCCACAAAAAATACAATTTGAATAGCACCCCATTTGTCCACGTAAGATCAGACTTTTAAAATACTGTAGTCTGTGCCATGAGCACATGTGCCAATTGAATGTTCTTCCTTAGGATAAATAATTTGCAAATCAGTCTTTAAATGTTATAGATTCTTTAAGGGTTTGAAAATATACTAAGCTATGCCACAGCAATTCGACAAATTGAGCAACATGTAAGGTGTAAAGATCTCCGAATGGCAGCATTTCCCATGGCATATAGAGAATATATTCTTAATAAAAGAAATGTATATTATTTTCCATTAGAATTGTACGTGTATATCTCTCTACTTAGCACATGAACCACTAAAAAAAATTCTGAGCTTTCGCATGCTGTAGATATTCCCCAGTGTGATATTCAGTTCCTCGTGGCCGTTGGAAGACTCCAAACCTGTGGTTGAAACCAGCATTGCATCCTTAACCATTTCTCCCCAGAGGCTCCAGCATATCTGATAGACCTGATGCATGACAAAAATGCGGAGATCCGCAAAGTCTGTGACAACACACTGGATATTATAGCGGTAGGTTGAGTTTCTTTGTCCATTCGAAGAGCCTGTTTGAATGTGAGTGGTTTGCATTCTGAAATAGCTTTATTAAACACTGACTTGTTGCGCGAAAATATTTGTAAAACAAACATACACTTTTATTACATGAGAGGAAGTAGCATTTTCTTGGCAAAAGTCATGTTATACTGGTCGGTTTCTAAATTTCCACCTTCAAAATCTCACACATTCTTAAAAAACAATGCGGGTTAATAACAGATTACACACAAATTTTTTTAAATCCTACGATAATGTACTAGATGGACTTTATATAAAACTTCTGTGGTCGGGCTTAGGGATGCATGCTTACCAGGAGAACCAGTTAACTGGCACTCAGCTAGGTCAGAGCAGCCTCCCTCATATCCTTGGGCATTGTGCCCTGCCCAGCCCGGTTGGAGCAGCCCCCCACCTGTGGTCGGGCCCACCATCCTGTGGTTAGGTTAACCAGTTAAACATGTAGTTTAACTGGTTGACATTTTAAACGTGATTTTACATCCCTACTTGGGATCAAGAACAGGAGCTTTCTGACCATATTCCTTTTCAGGCAATTACTTTTCAGCTTCCTAAATCCTCTTGGCAAATTCAGATAGATTCAGCAGTCGTCATCCCCTTTGAAATATCATCTATATTTCTGTAGTGGATGAAGTAATTCCCCTATACAGCAAGCTTTGGGATCCATTGCATGAATGGTGTAGTTTGAATGTACTCTCGTGGTCGTGCAAAGTGAATTGTAGCTGAACGGAACCTACCTGAGAATTTGGAGAGTAGTATTGAAAATTTTGGTTGGACTAGTCTCCTGTTTGAATAGGCCTTTTCCTTATTTCTTTCCTGTGTCTTCCTCAGTTGAAAACTATATACAGCCGGTCCCTGAGTTGTGAACGGTCAACTTACGACCATTCGCAGTTATGACCAAAGCTGTTGTAAATGGGGGACCCCGAGTTACGAACGCGATCCGCGCTTACGAACAGCTTGGTCGTGTGTATCTTTATGGGGTCCAACTTACGAACAAACTGAGTTAGGACCAATTGCTTAGTCCGTAACCGGTTCGTAAGTCGGTAAGAGGCTGTACTACAGAAGCTTACTTGCTCTTAAAGCTTACATTTTCTATTTTATTTTTATGTAATAGCCATGCACAAATGCTTAGCTGAAATGTGCCCTAGAGAAGTGCAAAATATTAGTACTATTGTTTTCTATGTGTATGCATTGGTATGTTGTATTGATTGCCTTATAAGTTTTGCTTGTGTTTCATGCAGAGAGATGGTCTGAAATGCTGGCTTTGTTGAAGTCAATGGAAGTTTTGCCATTGACTTTCAGTAGAGCCAGGATTTCATCTGTGATGAATTTGCACTATCCTATCACCTGAATCCTGTGTGTAAAATGCTCATGAGTTAATCTACCAAGGGAAAAAATATTAGTGTAGTGAGACAGAGCCCCACTGGGCGCATTAGACGTTTTTGGTAGAAGAAGTTTTGGCCGCGAGGGGAGGTTCTCCAGTATTGAAATGTTTCTCGTCTTGCATTGTTGAAGATTACTTAAATGGAAAACCTCAAGGAAAATGTGAGAGACCGCCATGTCCACATTGTTCCAGATAAGATCATTGTTGTTCTGCTGTCTGCAATGTTTGCCAGTCGGCCTGTGTTGTTTGACATGTTCTTTCCTTGCGTTCCAGACCTCTCTGAATATGCAAGGGGATTCTGGCAAAGGCCTCAGTGATCTCAGTTTAGCTGTAAGACCCTATTCCTACAAGAAGGCGACCTGCCGGGGAATTTTTAATAAGGGGCTGAAGTAAAATGGACATCAGGAACAATAATTTTCATATAACTGAGGCTACCTGCCAATCAAAGGATGGTAGATATTGGAAAAATGACAGCATATGCTCCTGTAGATCAGATTTTTCTACAGGTTGAACCTCTCTTAACCGGGACCTCCTAGTCCAGCAACATCTGTGGAACCATGGATGTACCGGGACCAGAGTGCTGCACAGGGAGCTGGGCTGGAACTGGGCTGCCTAGCTTAGCGAGGGCTTGGGGGACTGACAGGGCAGCAGGGCTGCCCAGTGGGAGTGAGGTGGGGAACTGGCCAGGAGGCTGGCGGCTGGCCCATGGCTGGGGGGGATAGTAGCAGGGGGGCCAGATATGACCTCCCTGGTCTGGCAAAATTTCTCATCCAGGACCATTCAGGTCCCAAAGGTGTTGGACCAGGGAGGTCCAACCTGTACAATACGTGTCATGCTTTTAAAAATGTTAGCCTTAAAAAAAAAAAAGGATGGGGACAGGAAAGCTTCCATGTTAGCACCAGAAGCAAGAGTCTTGAGTTCAGTTAGTCCTTTTGCTTAGCTGCTAAGCACCAAATATAGGCCAGCGATCGTCATGCACCGTATCACTGTTCCTGGTCTCATTGTTTCTGAGTGCTGTGCCTCTCCTCAAGCAGTCATTGTTCCAATTTTCCTACTTACAGACTGGCCCCTGTGTAGCAACCATGTTTACTTCAGCAGGCCAGACTTAGGCTTAGACTCTGCAGTTCTGCCCTCACCAGGAGCAATAACAGTAGTCCTGAGGGGCCAACAGCCCTCTTAAAACAAAACCCGTTGGGGAATAAAACAGACTAGATGCATTTCTAGCGTAGCAGTGTTCAGTGATCTTCCGCATGGGGATCCTGGGAGAGCTAAGCTTCTTGTCGAAGTCCATCAGCCTGAGACTGTTATCCTCTGGCTGGCACTATATGTTTCCTTTACATGCAAGCCTGTTTTCTCTTCTACGCCTAAGGGAGGAGTCCTTTCCTGCTTAGGCACCTATCCCCTACCTGGAGACCTTCGGTAGTTCCCAGGATTGGCAGAACAAGGCTTGCAACTTGTTGGAGACAGAATGTAAGATCCTTAAAGCTAATAGCTTTGTCCATTGTTTTTCGAGCATGTGCTCGGGTGCTCTTTTCTAGGATCATTGTTCTTGAAAATCTCATTTGTTCTTCCCACAGGCTCCAATTAAGCTAGATCAGTGCACCTGCAGGAAAGTCTTGTGTCCCAATGTACATTGACTTCTGCTCACTGACCAGGTCACATCTCCATGTAAGCACATCTCCATTAGCACAGCCATGACGTCCAGTCTTGGATCCCTCTTGTACCAATACTCTGATTTCGCAGAAGGCATTTCGAGTGCTCTAGAAGCTTTATGTTAAGGGTTCGTCTACACTATGGGCTAAATCGGCCCTGCTGTGATCTGGGCAGTGGGCTTTGATTCAGTGGGTCTGGTGAAGATGCAATAAGTTGGTGTGAAATTATTCTCCTCTCGACTTCAGTACTTCACCTCCCCAAGAAGTAGAAGCTGTGTCTCCGGAAGAGCTTCTCCTATTGACATAGCATGGTGTAGACCAGGGCTACTCAACTTTGGAAGCTCTGGGGGCCACAATGATACTCCCAGCACGTGCCGAGGGCCGCAACTTAAATGTGGTTGCGTAGACATGCAAATATATATGCAAATAGCTTCTTTCTCACTATCAGGCATGAATACATGAACGGCAGGAATCTTCTCCAGCTCCCATTGCCTGCTGTGGTCAGAAGGTTGCCACACATGGAGGAATTGGTCTTACTGGTATATATTGTTAGAACTCTCTGCTCCCCTTGTTCTCCAACACTTGCCACTTTGCCAGTTAGAAGTGATGTGAGATCCTACATAGATCGTTTCCTCAGTAATGAAGCTGCAGGGGCCAAAACATTAGTGGTCCTGATAGGATTCACTTCCCAGATCAGAATCCATGATGGCGCAGCCCATGAAGCTACCCAGCCAGTTCAGCGTTGCACGTGCTTGGTTATGCGGTTTGCTTGCACTGCTAGAACCTAGGAGGGGCTGGGGTAGCTCATAACAATGAAAACAACAAAGTAATTAAATAATTTTGCAGACTTTTTGCCCACATATATTTAACATAAGCAAGTTGCTATAACGATGAGAAATCAGAAAATAAATGCGGGGAGAGATTTTTGCTACTTAAAACTAATTTATTTTTAAAGAGAGAAACACGTTTTTCAGTCATCAAGAAGCTGCACGTAATGTGATTGAAACAACATTGAGGAAAGCTAGAGGCCTTGCAAGCCTTGGGGGGAATATGCTTTCTGCGGTAAAGTAATTGTCACAGAAATTATGGAAAAGTTACACTAGTGATGATTTGTTTAATGCAGTTTGGCTTGATTCCGCCGTTGGTGAATTGAAACAGATGTGTTGCTTTAGTACAGTATGTACCATGGAGTCATATGGGCAATCTGCACTGGAGGACGCCAATAGCCTCTGTCAGCAACAAGAAAACGAGTTTCTGGCTGTTCTTGAATCGCTTCAGTATTCTGGATGTGGTGCTGAGTCCTGGTGAGAGAGCTAAGAACCCCCTAACCTGGACACACAATGGCCGTCTCAGTACGGGGACTGAGGTCCGTTCCCTGCGTAGTGTGTTCTGCCAGATTCGGACGAATAGATCGATGTTTCCCATTGAGCATTGGCTGCTTTAGCTGCCCCCACTGTTGAGAGCTCATGCGCTTTGACCCCTTTTGGAAGGCAGCGGCAGTTGGCTCCACATTGCACGCTCACTCATAGCATCAAACAGATCAGTGTTTAAAGGTCAGTGGGCTCCACCTATACCGGTAACTTTTCCATCACTAAAGAGAGAGGTCTCTGAACTGTCAGGCTCCGCCTCCTTTTCTCTTCCTCGGTCTACTTGGGCATTCTAATTACATTGTTTTCTTCTTTGTTCTCTCTCTTCGTTTTTTGTGTTAAGGTCGATATTTCAGTCCACTCAATTTCTTCCCTTCCACCTTATCTGGTCAGTTTTTCTGACAGCTGTCTTTGAACCGAGGGCCAGTCCACCATATCAGATCCCAAATGAGTCTAAGAAGCTGCAGGAATGGTTTCAAAATACTTCGGGATTTGGAGCCGGAGCTGCATAAGAATAGAGACAAGCATTCCCGCTAGACCCATTGAGAACTTGCTGGGAACCAA